ACGGGCCCGATTTGGCATCGGACCTTCGTGGACATCGGCCCCACTTCTCTAGGCAAGGAGGCCACGTCCACCAAGACCTGGTTGGTACCCATACCGCTGCTCCCCAGAACTCTCCTGGGGCGCGTTCTGACCAGAATCTTGAGGCGACTCCAGCGGTGGTGACGAGGGCCGCCGAGGAGACCCAAAAAGGGGAAAACGGGGCGAAGGGTAGAGGTATGGGTACCCTTTCCTCCTCTGAGGGTCCTCAGTGGCGCCAGTGGATCACAGCATCCCCCCCTGCGCTCAACGCGTAACTCACGGGCCCAAGGTGCAGATGCAAGGCCCCCGTGCGTCCCGAGCCGGGCGCCGGGGCAACAGCCAGGACCGCCCAAGGATGGGCCGAAGCCTCAAGAATGGCGCGCTGCATCTGCAACCGAGCGGCGAGAGGGAACGGGGTCTCAAACATGAGGAAGAGGCTGGATGAGAGAAGCGCGTGTCATGTGCTTCCCCAATGTTTCACGTGCTTCGCCATGCTGTTTCAGCCTTTCGGTTGGCCTCCTTCCACAATGCCCCACCCATTAGGATCCAATCGACCCCTTGTTCTTCAAATCCCTACCTTCGCGATTCCGTTCGGCAATCTCCGTTTCCGAATTCGTATACTAAGCCGCGAAGTAAAGAACTGTTCATTAAGGCGGCCATGTACGGAACCGTTTTGTAACGTCGCGTCAAAATGAATCCTCTCGTAAGGCCTCCACAACACAACATAATCCAGTTGGAGGCCGCCACACAATAGTTCCTGTTGGAAGGCAGCCACAAGCATAATCTCTTTGCACGGCCGCCACAAAAATTAGCCTGGCGAAGGACCCAACCATATGCAGCTGCGAGTACCGCACGGATATGAGACGAAGGAGGGGGCACGCAAACTAGGCCCCTCTTCTCATAGGCACCGCGCCACTGGGGCCTTCGGTGGAGCTCCCTATGGGGCCACGAGACGTGTGAAGGGTGTGCCGAAATGGGTGGTGGGGAGGCATGCGGGCGGACCCTGCCACTGGGGCCTTCGGTGGAGCTCCCTATGGGGCCACGAAACGTGTGGGGGGTGTGCCGAAATGGGTGGTGGGGAGGCATGCGAACGCAGCCACTGGGGCCTTCGGTGGAGCTCCCTATGGGGCCACGAAACGTGTGAGGGGTGTGCCGAAATGGGTGGTGGGGAGCCACTGGGGCCTTCGGTGGAGCTCCCTATGGAGCCACGAAACGTATGAGGGGTGTGCCGAAATGGGTGGTGGGGAGGCATGCGAACGCAGCCACTGTGGTCTTCGGTGGAGCTCCCTATGGGGCCACGAAGCGTGTGAGGGGTGTGCCGAAATGGGTGGTGGGGAGGCATGCGAACGCAGCCACTAGGGCCTTCGGTGGAGCTCCCTATGGGGCCACGAAACGTGTGAGGGGTGTGCCGAAATGGTGGTGGGGAGGCATGCGAACGCAGCCACTGGGGCCTTCGGTGGAGCTCCCTATGGGGCCACGAAACGTGGTGAGGGCTTGCCGAAATGGGTGGTGGGTAGGCATTGCGAAACGCAGCCACTGGGGCCTTCGGTGGAGCTTCCCTAGATGGGCCACGAAACTTGGTGAGGGGTGTGCCGAAATGGGTGGTGGGGAAAAAGAAAAGCAATGCGAACGCAGCCACTGGGGCCTTCGTCGGTGGAGCTCCCTATGGGGCCACGAAACGTGTGAGGGCTGTGCCGAAATGGTGTGGGGAGGCATGCCGAAAACGGTGACGCTGGGGCCTTCGGTGGAGCTCCCTAAGGGGCCACGAAACGTGTGAGGGTTGTGCCAGAATGGGGGGTGGAACCGCATGCGGGCGCAGCCACTGGGGCCTTCGGTGGAGCTCCCTATGGGGCCACGAAACGTGTGAAGGGTGTGCCGAAATTGGTGGTGGGGAGGCATGCGGACCCTGCCACTGGGGCCTTCGGGGGAGCTCCCTATGGGGCCACGAAACGTGTGAGGGGTGTGCCGAAATGGGTGGTGGGGAGGCATGCGAACGCAGCCACTGGGGCCTTCGGTGGAGCTCCCTATGGGGCCACGAAACGTGTGAGGGGTGTGCCGAAATGGGTGGTGGGAGGCATGCGAACGCAGCCACTGGGGCCTTCGGTGGAGCTCCCTATGGGGCCACGAAACGTGTGAGGGGTGTGCCGAAATGGGTGGTGGGGAGGCATGCGAACGCAGCCACTGGGGCCTTCGGTGGAGCTCCCTATGGGGCCACGAAACGTGTGAGGGGTGTGCCGAAATGGGTGGTGGGGAGGCATGCGAACGCAGCCACTGGGGCCTTCGGTGGAGCTCCCTATGGGGCCACGAAACGTGTGAGGGGTGTGCCGAAATGGGTGGTGGGGAGGCATGCGAACGCAGGAGGGAGGAGGGCGAGGAGAAGGAGGAAGAAGGAACGCGGGGACCGTTTCTTCAAAACGAGGACCCAACACCACAGGATCGTTGGGAATAATCCTTTTGACCGGACGCCGCAAAAGGAATCCATTTGCCGGGCAGCCAGGCTACTTTCGGCAAACAGCAGCGGAAAACAATGGCGATCAAGGACAACATATCAAACAGAGCAATCATTGTGTGTTTCTTTGTTTCCTTTGGTGATCATTATTCTTGCCGCGTGTTCATACGTCTCCATTGTATGAACTGAGATTTTGCTGTGTTCATCGGTGTTCATTGGTGCTCATTATTGCTGCTGTGTTTTTTTACGATGTCCGTGGTGCATATCGGCTTGTATTGTGGTCCAAACATCATTGTTACATGTTTCACTGGTTTTCGATATGGTTTCCTTTCTGTTTATGGTTTCCTTTCTGTTCATTGTGTTCCGTTGTTTTCCTTATGTTTCTGAAAGGGTTCAGTTGCCAGGGCGCCACACGAAGATTCCTCTCGTAAGACCGCCACAAAAAAATCTTGACAAAATCATCCCAATGCGACCCTACCTGGGAGTTGGAGCCCCTAGGAAAGCAGCATTAGTAGTGACGGTAAAGATAAGCTAAAGCAAAGCTAACGCTAAGCTACAGTCAAGCTAAGTATAAGCTAAAGCTAAGCTAAAGCTAAGCTACAGCTAAGCTAACGCTAAGCTACAGTCAAGCTAAAGCTAAGCTACAGCTAAGCTGAAGCTAAACTGAAGCTAAGCTAAAGCTAAGCTAAAGCTAAGCTAAAGCTAAGCTAAAGCTAAGCTAAAGCTAAATATGCAGCTGAAGCAAAGCTAAATCTAAGCTAAAGCTAAGCTAAAAATAAAGCTAAAGCTAAAGCTAACGCTAAAGCTAAAGTTAAGGCTAATGCTCAAGCCAAAGCTAAAGCTAATGCTAAAGCTACGGGGCGCAACTGGGGGAACCGCGGGGCGGAAACATAATCACCACGACACCAACAACCACAACCACAATAAACAAACACAGCACACAGACAGCCAGCACCTAAGCACAATAATCACACACGCACGCACACGCCAACAAACACACGAGCAAACAGCCAAGCAGACACGCGAGCACACCTTTGTGATGCCGCAGCGCTGCAGAGGCGACCCGCACGCGCACGAAGACCTTCGTCAGGCGTGGCCGCTGCGACCCGCCCGTGCTGAGGAAGCCCCGCAGCGGGCGCGGAGCGGCATCGCGGCCACGCCCAGGGGCTGCGGCACCGGCTGCAGGCGCGGGAAGCGCAGACCAGGTCGAACCAGTATCGGAGGAGGAGGAGGAGGAGGAGGAGGAGGAGGAGGAGGAGGAGGAGGAGGGGGAGGAGGAGGTGGAGTGAGGAGGGGAGAAGGCGAGGAGGAGGAGGGGGGAGGAGGAGAAGGAAGGAGGAGGAAGGGAGGAGGAGGAGGAGGAGGAGGAGGAGGAGGAGGAGGAGGAGCGGCAAGCGAGCCCACAGAAGCGGGCGGCATCCAGGTAGCCCTCGAAAGTGGCGACAGTTTCGCAGCTGCCAGCTCCGCAAGGATGGCGAGGTCTAATTTGGTCCACGTGGGGCGTCACTCCGCTGACCCCCCAAGCAGCCCTCGAAAGTAGCGACAGTTTCGCAGATCGCAGCCCCCAAGCGATGTTCAGTTCAGAAGCCTTGCGCCGGCCGGCGCGCGAGTGAAACCAGTATGATTCAGCAGCTGTGCCACGAGCGCACTGTAGCCTCCCACGCACGAGCTGCTCCGCCCTCTCGGCGAAAGAATGCAGCTAGCCGCGCGGGAGAACCAGCTGCCAGTAGACAGTTGCGCATTACCATTTGTCCCCAAGACTGTCGCGGCCGACCTCGTTTTCGAGGACCGCTTGGGGGGCGAAGAGATAGACTACCTGATTCGAAAATTGAACTTCGAACTGGGTCAGAATCTGGGCGTCGGGCAAGCTGCCCCTTGAAAACCATCTGACGTTTCATCACGCTTTCACTGAGCGACACGTGACCTGCCATGCTGAGAACGAAGCGTAATTCAGGTCCGCGTAGGGCGTCACTCCGCTGGAACCCCGAGCAGCCCTCGAAAGTGGCGACAGTTTCGCAGGTCGGAGCCCCCGAGGGATGGCGAGGTGTAATTTAGGTCCGCGTAGGGCGTTACTCCGCTGGAACCCCCAGCAGCCCTCGAAAGTGGCGACAGTTTCGCAGGCCGCAGCCCCCGAGGTATGGCGAGGTCTACTTCAGGCTCGCGTAGGGCGCCACTCCGCGGGGCCACCCAGCAGCCCTCAAAAGTGGCGACAATTCCGAGGGCTGCGACGGCAGTGCTCTACTCTGAAGGGGCCCTGAGACACACACACACACACACACACAAAAAAAAAAGGCACAAATAACAAGATGTCCTATATGTTCCCTTATGTTCTGGGTTTGTGTCTTCCCCCCCACTTCCCATGTTTTCCTATATTTTCCTGGGAGGCAAAGATAAATTGTGTCTGTGTGTGTTTTTCCTGCCTGATACTCGAAACGATAACCCGACGCAAGACGCCTGGGGACAAGCAAGCAAACAGTCCTGGCAAGCGAGCGCCTTCTTCGCCCGCGCCGCGCCAAGGCAGGGCTTGGGGCAGCCCGCCTTGCCGAGGCCGTGGAGCATCCCCTGCACCTCCTCGAAGGTGGACTCGGTGCCGTAGCCCGGATACCACTGGGAGGAGGAGGAGGAGGAGGAGGAGGAGGAGGAGGAGGAGGAGGAGGAGGAGAAGGAGGACGAAGATGAGGATAGGGAAGGGGAGGGGAGGAGGAGGAGGAGGAGAGGCTGAGAAGGAGAGAGGAGAATGAAGATAAGTAAGAGGAGGAGGAGGAGGAGAGGAGGAGGAAGGATGAGGAGGAGGAGGGGAGGAGGAGGGGGAGGAGAGCAGGAGCCGAAGCATCCAGCCGCTCCAACGTTTGTTGAGGCGTGGGCCCTGGAGGTCCCCGGGCCGCCTCCGCAGGGCCGGCCTGTCGTCCTGGCTCGTCTTGTTGACGGCCCCGAGGCCCGGCGAATGCCCCCCGGAGGCCGCACACGGGCAAAAACCGGCCTCTCCGATTTTTGTTGGAGCGTCGGATCTCTGGGGAAGGCGACGTGCTCGACCACAGATGCCCATCGCTACTGGGCCGTCTTCGGCGGTTTTCGGAGGATTTGGGGGCGGTCTTCGGCGGGGTCTTCGGCGGTCGTCTGACGGTCTTCGGCGGTTTTTCTGGCGGTCTTTGGCGGTTTCCAAAGGACTTGGGCACGAGAGCTGGATGATTGCATTCAATATCGGCGCCGAGCCAGGTGGGCAAAATCCGAAGGGGCGGTCCATTTCAGAAGGCTTGAAGTCACCCAGCCTTCTGGGAAGCTCTCTAAGCCTTCCCCGAAGATACTGAAAACTTCTCAGAAGGCGCGAGGGCTTCTGAGAAGTCCCACCACCTTCTGAGAAGGCCTTCTTCTTCTCCTTCTCATTTCCACCCCTCGCTCGCCGCCGAGTTCGATATGGGGCCCATGATCGAATCAGACGAGGAAAAAAAGGCAGGAAGAAAAGGGCGGGACGGTGGGAGAGACGAAAACAGTACGTTGAGGGCATCGGATAAGGAACCAGCTGGTAAGGAAACAAGGGTCTGGAAGCCAGTGGAACACCAATTGCGGCTTGGCCAAGAATAAACCCACCGCCCTGGAGGAAGACCGAGAGATCCGAGGCTTCGAAAAATATGCAACGGTTGCGAGCCCGGGGGGGGGAAGTGCCTGCTCAGAAGGCGCGAAGGCAGGTGTACTCAGTGCCACAGCCCAGATACCACCAGAAGAGGGAGGGAGGACGACCCAGAGATCCCAAGGCCCCGAAAAAGCTGGCGTCGAAAAAAATGGTGCGGCGGACTCTTGGGCTCCTCTCGGCCTCTGGGGGTCCTCCACGGGCACCAGGACTGTCAAAGACGGCTCAGGATCGGCGCTGGGCAAGTGGTCCAGACCTCCAGGGTTCCACGCATCGACGAAACTGTAGCGCCAGACGTCTGGGGAGGAGGAGCGGCGCGCACCAGGGGGGTAGGGGGAGGGGGGAAGGCTTCTTAGAAGGAGGCTTCATCTGGAAGGCGCCGGCCCGCATCCACAGGCAAGGCCCGCGCCTTCTAAGAAGCAGGGGTCTTTTCTAAGAAGTCTCCCCCCTCCCCCTACCCCCCTTACCAGCCTGGAACATATCCCTATCCCTATGCTGGGCATCTCCTCATCACGATGCCAATCTTATGGATTCCCTTATTTTTTGAGGACGAATCCCTAAGATTGTCATCGCCTTTTGGCGTGTCAATCTTAGGGATAGGGATATGTTCGAGGCTGGTAACCCCCTCTGCGCGTGGCCTAGGGAAGGAGCAAGAGTCGTGGGCCAACACGCATGTTCGTGTTCACGGCACCGCGGGCTGGGCCCCTTGGCTGGGGCCTCACAGATGTGGGGCGCTGTGCCGCGGATGCAGAGGGTACCCGTGAGCCCGCGGACTTGGCGACACGCATGCCCAGGATACTCTTCAGTGCCCCTCGGGAGGGGATGAGAGGGAGGGACCGAGAGAAGGAAGGGGAGGAGGAGGCACGGGAGGCCTCGGGGTGCCTCGAGAACCCGAACTGGCGGAGCCAATCCACGGCGTCGCGGCACGCGGATTCCGGCTCCACCTCCTCGCACTCCTTCGCGTCATCCTTCGCCATGTCTTCCTGCAGCGCCTTCAGCCTGGCGACCGGCTGCTGCTGCTCTGGAGCGGTAGCGTTCGCCTGCTCGAAATCCTCGCTGGCCTCGCGCTGCGCCTCCCAAGCGGCGATTTGAGCCTCCGCGGACTCCTCGCTTTCAGTGACGTTCGCCTCGGCCACGTAATCGCTGAGGAGCGGCTGGCGACGCTCTGACCCGACGACGTCGTCGATCGCATTCTTGTCGAGGTCCACCACAGTGTCACTGCCCGCCTCCGCGCCGACCTCGCGCTCGGGCGCCAGGCGGGTAAACGAGATGGCAGAGCAAGTCGGGATGAGCACCGCCGCGCGCCACGCCATCGCGATGTACGTCGGGGTGGTGCAACACGTAAGTAAGCAAAGAGTGCCAGATTGGTAAATGGACAAGGGCGGAATCCAAGAGCCAGAACGCCTCAAACAACACAGATTCTTACAACCACTCCTATGTACTACGACCGCTACAGCAACAACAGGCTCTGCGACGACTACTACTACTACTACTACTACTACTACTACTACTACTACTACTACTACTACTACTCTATTACTACTACTGCTGCTGCTGCTGCTACTACTACTACTACTACTACTACTACTACTACTACTACTACTACTACTACTACTACGACTAGGACTACGTCTACGACTACTACAACGACTACTGCAACTACTACTACTACTCCTACTACTACTACGAATAATAATAATAATAATAATACGAACTACTACTAACTACTCTGATTTTTCACAACTACTACTACGACTACTACTACTATCTACTACACTACTACTACTCTCTACCACTACAACTATACCAACTCTACAACTATACCACTACCACTATACCACTACTACTACTACTACACTACTACTACTACTAAAAACTACTACTCACTAACTAACTAACTACTACTACTACTCCTACCACTACTACTACTACTACGACTACTACTACTACTACTACTATCTACTACTACTACTACTACTTACTACTCCTACTAACCTTACTACTAACGACTACTGTTACTACTACGACTATACTATACTACTACTACTACTACTCTACTACTACCTACTACTAACCACTACACTATTTTACTAACTACTTACTAAGCACATTTCTACCTACTACTACACATTCTACTACTACTACAACTACTACTACTTCTACGTCTGCGACTAGTACAACGAATGGTGGTTCTAGGGATACGGCTGCTACCACGACTACGACAAGGACAACGATTACGACTGAGACTAAGACTGGGGCTACGACCACGCCTACTATTGCAACTCCACCTACAACAAAACAACTCTTATTACTACGCCTACTCCTACAACTGATTACACTACAACTGGTACTAATACGGCTACTACTGCTACCACGGTAATAACAACAAGAACAACAACAACAACTACTACTACTACGACCACTACTACTACTACTACTTGTATTTCTACTTCTACTACTACTACTACTACTACTACTACTACTACTACTACTACTACTACGACTACTAGTATTACTACTACTTCTACTAGCACGACTACTACTACCACCACCACGACTACACTAGAACTATACTACCACAATTACTAAAACTACGACGATTATTACTACCACTTTCACGACCCCGACCACTACCACTACAAATACAACTATCACGACCACTACTACATCAAAAACTAGGATTGCGATTACTACTACTACTACTACTACTACTACTACTACTACTACTACGACTACTACTACAACAGCTACTACTACTACCACTACTACTACAACAACTACTTACTACCAACTACTACTCTACTACTACTAACACTACTACTAACTACTACAACTACTACTACTACTGAGACCACTACCACTACGTACTACTACTACTACTACTACTGCTGCTGCTGCTGCTACTACCACTACTACTACTACTACTACTCCTAACTACTACTAACTAGCTTACTACTACTACTACGACTACTACTACTACTACTACTATTACTACTACTACTACTACTACTACTACTACTACTGCTCCTACTACTACTACTACTAGTACTACTACTACTACTACTACTACTACTACTACTACTACTACTACTACTACTACTACTACTACTACGACTACTACGAATAATACGACTACTACGACTACTACGACTACTACCACTACTACGACTACTACAACAACAACTACTACTACTACTACTACTACTACTACTACTACTACTACTACTACTACTTCGACTACAACAACAACAACTACTACTACTACTACTACTACTACTACTACTGTTACAACGGACTCACTTCTATAGCGCTCACTTCTATAGTGCTCACTTTGAACTTGTGGTCCGGAGGGGGCCGCACATGCAGGCACATGCCGCACAGTCGCATGCACATGCCCATGCAAATATACAAAAGCCTCAACAGCATTGCCGCACATGCGCGCACATGCCACACCGTCCGACGCACAGTCGAAAGCACAGTCAAGCAAAACTCTGAAAGCATAGACGCACATGCCCGCACATGCCGCAGAGATGTCGCAGGCGATAGTGGCCTGACCACCTGAGCTCGGGGCATTTCGCAACCCAGAGTTCCGAGGATGTCTCAGGCAAGCGTGGCCGGACCACCATGGGGCAGGGCATCTTGGAAACCAGAGTGGCGAGGATGACGCTGGTCAAGGTGACCAGACGACCATGGGGCAGGACACCTCCGAGGTCTGAGTCGTGAGGATGTCTCAGGCGAAAGTGGCCTGACCACCATGGGGCAAGAGATCTCTGAGGTCAGAGTTGCGAGGATGTCTCTGGCGAGAGTGGTCTGACCACCTCAGCCCAGGGCGTCTCGGAACCCAGAGTTGCGAGGATGTCTCAGGCAGGAGTGGCCTGACCACCTGCTCAGGGCATCTCGGAACC